AAACATATCAAGTTACATTGATATCTGTTGCAGGAATGTCTGAGAAAATGTTGCAAATGCACATGTGGATGGACATCCTGACAGACAAAAGGCAAATTAGTACGGTAATCCCCTTTCAGGCTCTGCCTTAAACAGGAATACAAATGTATGCGCATAATATAATTTCATTCTTGTGAACTTGACAGAATGTAGCCATCTGTCTTTTTGGAAACTAAACAAGTTGATGTGTATGCTATGCAAAATTTTGAAAGAATATATCTTTGAGACAGTGTTCTCCACGGGTTGAAAATTTAGCCTGGCGGGCTAAGCCCGTCAAATGAGAGCGCCGAAGGCGCATAGCCACGAGGGAGGGTCCGGGGCCTTCCCCCGGCAAAAGTTTTGACATTTAGATGCCTTTTTGCTTACGTCGTTGGCAAAAATGTGTGCATTTAGTTCACACGCAATTCAGTAAAATACTGACTAACATAAAGTCGTACAAATTGTACTTCGATTTTTGTACAAATTCGGTAATCATTAGTTTCTTAGATATACCAATTCAGTTTGACAATAACACCTTTGATTTGTGTTAAGTAAAAGAAGCCTTTCGCAAACCAAACAGACGTGCTGTGCCGTGTCAGACAGGAAGTGATGCTGACATGTCTTATTCTGTCATTTTATGCATCTATTTATCACCAATTCCACGAGTAAAAGTCGTAACTTCCGAAGTATTACGAGTACATGTATTATGACTCGTCCATACATTTCACTTATGTTTATTACACTTAAATAAAGTTTAAAATAGCCGAGCCTTCCTGATTCGAGCCTCATGTTGATTTGACGAAGGTAGGTATCATTAATGTTTATTCTTTGTCCGTTTTGCATTCCAGACAAAATGTTCAAGATCGGTAAACAAGAAATGGACAAACTAAAATGTCTCATGTGTTTCACGTGCGACATGATTATTAAAAAAAAAACAGAGTTAAGCGATCATGTACGTTCTATAAATCTAACCTTGCACACATAATCTTGCATTGACGTGTTTTTTTTGTTTTGTTTTTTTTCAAAAAACGATGTTGCCTTTCAGTTAACTTTTCGCGTTTATGGTATTTGTGAGTTAAAACATGTTTGCGTTATTAGAAAAACAGCACACTAAGTAAATGATGTTGAAATATTCAAAGCCAAAACAGAGTTGCATACAAGTTGTGTTATTACAGTACCGCCGGTAATAAAAATTTTACTTGATGGACACGCAGACCATGAAAGAAAAAAGTTTGCTAAGGTAACGTGCCAGTTCAGTGCGTGACTTGAGTTCAAACTTCGGTCAACACACACTTTATGTCAGCATCGTCACATAGCAAGTTTCGCAAAGTACTTGAAGTCCAATTGCGCCCCAAAATGATGTCTACGATTACCCAATTGTCGCAGCGCATTTGTACCAAGTCCATGATACACCCAGTTTCGACTCCGGCTTGCTTTTCCTTCTTAGTCCATGTTCTTGTTCACGTAAAATGCGGCCTCTCACTAATGTATTAAAACATTTTGAATTTATACTTTTGCGTGATTATATTTGGGCATTTTATCATGGCGCTGAAGAATTTTACCCTGCCGGCGGGATATTTAGCCTGGCAGCATATGATTTTACCATGGTGGCCCGCCCTACCAAATCAATGTGTGGAGAACACTGAGACAACTTTAATTGTAAATTTTAGAAGTAAAATTAATACAGTGTATAAGCAATTATGAAAGATTATGAATAAATTATTCAAATTATATGCTAATTACTATGCAAATTAGCCACAAACATTTGCAAAAGTCCTGGTGAGAACACTGATATTTTACGTAAGAACATGGGCTTCTAATATATGCTATATATTATTTGAATGCAAAAATACAGTTTTCATATTTTTTTATAGTTCTCACCAATTTTCAACACAAAAGAACTACCCTTATATTTTTCAAAACGAATGAACATCACAACCATATGGAAAACCTTTAAATGCATGAATGAATCCTCATAAACTCTAAAAGCTTTACAGAAAATTGAAATTCTCGAAAACTGATTATAAAAAAAAAATCAATTATTCCATTCTTTAATTAAACTACCTTGTGTAATAATTATTGTAAGGTGACAAATTTTTATATCTAGGATTTTTGGTTTTTTATCAAAAATTTTTCTTAAAACATTTTTCTTAATTAATTACCTAGTTGCAAAAATGTTGCAATGTTCGCCATACATTGTGTGAGTATTTCTCATAAAAACACAAACCAAACTGGCCTTAATTTTCAGGGCCACAATACACTCCAACAATGATTTTCATAATTTCCATCCTTTTACTTGGAGATGCCATCTAATGGTTAGATGTCTAAAAATAAAGGGTGTGAGGGAGTGGCTCATGCTTTAGAATGTAATAAATGCATTATGTATACAGTCATAACTGAAATTTTAATTGTATACCATCTGTTACATATGTTTCAATCATAAATTACTAGACATATTATGAATACTATGCACATTATTATCATTATTATGTACATGTAGTTATCAATTACACACATAGCAGCAAACTGGGAAGCATTTTGCCATAGATACATTTTTATACGAGAAAGTACAACTTTGTCACCTTTAAATTTCAAATCTACCTGTGTGTATGTGTCACAATAGTTTCATATTACGTGGATATGATTTACATTGACATGTAATTTGTGTAAAAAATGAACAAACATTTATAAAGCTCAAAAACTCTGATGAATGAATATTTGGCTACAAGTGAACAAATGCACATGCCCTCACTGAAGAGTCTGACTGGAGACAAGTCATCATATAATTTGATGTAATATGTGCTTTGCAGATATAGGGTATTATTATACATCTATCACCGTAACGCCATAAGTTACAGCCAGTCAGCCGGCATCGGTGTCGCTGGGTGTATATGATAGAGGGAAGTTGTGCAACCAAATTTGCAGAGTTCACAGTTTTTTGCTGATAAAAAATAACCAAGGCAAAAACTCACGGTTTTTCAGCCAGGCGATGGACGCGAAGCTCTTTGGCAATGACCGCAAACGTATCGTGTCCAGCCATTGGTTGGCCACATAGAGGTCAAAATACGCATTCTATTTTTACATGTTAAATTTGGCTCTTCAGTTTCACCCCTCCGGAATGTTCTACTTTCGTAGCCTAATCGCATGTTTTTCGAAAAACGCCGAAAAAACACAACAATT